TGCTGACGTGGTAATACCGTACTATTCTATAATTTCTCGTAGTTGAGCGTCGCTAAGGCACAACAGCGCACTCTAATTTCTCGACATTACAAGGCAACTGGCACAATAGTCGATTTAGAAATGGCATTGCCAAGAATCTCAAAAACTCATCCTAATCTCTGGAAATCAACGAAGCCGATCGACCCAAATGCGCTTCTTTCACTAGTCCTCACCAAGAACCTTACAGCCTCGTCAAATACACCAAGACCCATTTGCACCAGAACCCATACTGGCCCTTCTCTTCCTTCACACCTCACCGGCGTCATCAATGGTTTCATTTCCATCTTCACCAAGCAACCCTTTTCCCCAGATAACCCAGAGTTGAAGAACCTTGCTTCAAGACTCACCACCAAAGTAGTAGAAAGTGTGCTAGATGGCCTGAAGAGTTGGAAAATAGCTCACGTGTTCTTTACCTGGGCACCAACCCAATCTGGGTACAAGCACAATTGCTATACTTACAATGCCATGGCCTCTCATCTATCACGCGCTCGACAAAATGTTCCATTGAGAGCCATGGCTATGGAAATTGTGAATTCGAATTGTTCTCTGACTCCTGGAGCTTTGGGTTTCTTTATAAGATGTTTAGGTAGTGTAGAGTTGGTTCAAGAAGCTAACTTTTTGTTTGATCAAGTTAAAGTGAAGGGTCTTTGTGTTCCAAATAGTTATAGCTATAATTGTTTGTTGGAGGCTATATCTAAATCTAAGTCAAGTTCAATTGAATTGCTTGAAATGAGATTGCAAGAAATGCGAGATTCTGAGTGGGAATTCAGTAAGTACACGCTGACTCCAGCGTTGCAGGTTTATTGCAATACAGGGAAGTTTGAAAAGGCTTTAAATGTTTTCAATGAAATGTATGAGAAGGGGTGGGTTGATGCCCATGTCATGTCTATCTTGGTGTTGTCCTTTAGCAAGTGGGGTGAGGTGGATAAAGCTTTTGATTTGATTGCAAGAATGGAAGATCGCAATATTGGATTGAATGAGAAGACATTTCATGTTTTGATTCATGGGTTTGTGAGGCAGTCCAGAGTGGATAAGGCCCTCCAGTTGTTTGATAAAATGCGGAAGTCAGGTTTCACAGTTGATATTTCTCTTTACGATGTACTGATTGGAGGACTCATTAAGAATAAGGAGCTTGAAAAAGCCTTGTCTATGTATTCGGAAATGAAGGAGTCGGGAATCCATTCTGATGTTGGGATACTTACAAAGCTCATACCATTTTTTTCTGATGAAGGGGAAACAATCCGAGTACTTGAGGAAATCCAGGAAGATTTAGATGAAGAGGATATGTGTTTGCTTTACACTTCTGTGTTGAATGGTCTTGTTGATAACGGCTCCATTGACAAAGCTCATCGACTTCTTCAGGCAATGATGGAAAATGAATCTGATGCTGATGTTGAGGCAGATAAGCTCCTTGTAGTTAAGAAAAGGGTTCATCCTGTCACAACTAATTTTCAAGTTGTCATTGATGGTCTGCTGAAGTTTGGTAAGTTGGAGAAGGCCTTAAGCCTTTTCAAAGAAATGATTCAGATTGGCTGTAAACCAAATGTGTCAATGTATAACAATTTGATTGATGCACTGTGCAATTCAAATAGATTGGGGGAAAGTTATAAGCTTTTGAGAGAGATGGAGCAAGCAGGACTTGAACCAACACATTTTACCCATAACTCTATATTTGGGTGCCTATGTAGAAGACAGGATGTTGTAGAAGCCCTTAACCTAATGAAGGAGATGCGTGTTTGTGGACATGAACCATGGATAAGATATTCCACCTTACTTGTAAAGCAGCTGTGCGGACATGGAAATGCAGTGGAAGCTTGTAAGTTTCTTGATAACATGGTTCAAGAAGGTTTTCGCCCTGATATAGTCGCCTATTCTACGGCAATAAATGGATTAATCAAAATTCAAGAAGTAGATCGAGCTTTGCAGCTATTCCGTGACATCTGTGCTTGTGGCTATTGTCCTGATGTAGTTTCTCATAACATATTGATAAATGGGCTTTGTAAGGCGAAAAGAGTTTCAGAAGCTGAATATCATTTGAATGACATGGTGATGAAGGGGCTTGTTCCCTCAGTTGTAACCTACAATCTGCTGATAAATGGATGGTGTAAAAATAGTGATGTTGATAAAGCGATGCTTTGCTTCTCCAGGATGTTTGGTGAAGATGGAGAACCAGACACAGAACCGAATGTGATTACTTACACAACATTAATAGATGGGTTGTGCAATGCTGGAAGGGTCGACGATGCTCTTGTGGTTTGGAACAATATGGGAAAGAAGGGATGTGCTCCAAACAGAATTGCTTATATGGCTCTCATTACGGGTCTGTGCAAGTGTGGCAGGCCTGATGAGGCTCTAGTTTATCTTCGTCAGATGGAAGATAAGGAAATGAAACCTGAAATTTTTGTATATGCAGCAGTAATAACTGCTTTTCTCTCTGACCGAGACACTTGAGGTACTCAGGTGATCCATGAATCGCTAGTCTGTATTTGATGGCAATTTTATCGGAACTATCAAAGCATGTTTGAATGAAGGAATTGAAAATTATTAGAATTTTAAAATGACGGAATTTAGATTTCCATCATTTTAATTTTTGGCAATTGAAAATTCCAGTGTTTGGATTTATATATGTCGAATTTTGTAAAGGGCACTATGGAAATTGTAAAATGACACCTATTTTGATGGAAATTAAACTTGGAAATTTCATTCCGAAATTTTCATGATTTTTTTCAAGCATCATTTAATAAATTCAGCGCTTAAGTTACAAAACAAGGGAATTGTCAATTTATCTTAAATTCCCGACTTTTAACTAAATTCCGAGTTATTTTTCCTTATCCAAACGGAAGTGTAGAAATATAACACAGCTCCCACTTCTACTAATGTTGACTTTCTTTATTTTTTTTATTTTTATACGATCTACATAAATGATCACATGAGCTACAAAGTATTAACAATGTAGAATATATATATATATATATAGCAAAATGCAGAGAATATTTTTATTTATTTATTATTTATCAAATATAAATTTTCATTAGATAAACTTCAACAGTATAATTAAAGACATTAATATTACATCTAAAGTACCAATCTCAATAAGACAACACACTAATTAAAAACAAAATTAAAATGGACAAAAACTGTACTAAAACTATTAGCCCGCATCACCGTAGTTAATCATAAACTAAAACAAAGCCTACATTACATACCCAGTATAATTGAAACTATGGACTACTACCGTAGTATAGCTGAGGTGGTACTACGGACGAATAGTTTTCTGACACCTCACCGAATATTGACACGTCGACATGTAAGTAAAATGCATTATTAACGTCGTCACCTCATCCTCGAGGTTTTGATAGAAATCAGATGTCATTAAATTTCTTCCGTATTTCTATGAAATTTTATTCTTTGAACTCTGCAAATTCCTTAAAGCCATTTTTCTTCATAGCTTTTTGTGTGGTTTTTAAGTGAACTTGTTGGTCTATTGTTCTTAAAAATCAAGAACAGTATCAAATTGCTTAAAATTTTACGAAGAATTGCAAGTCTGCATCTTCTAGTCGGCGAGGTTCCGGCGTCCTCGCAGTCTTGGCGGAGGCCTTTTCTGATGTGGAAAAAAATTAGACTCATTCACCGCCCCTCCTTAGCCTTTGCATCAACAGTTTCATACAAATCTTGATTATAAATCAACGATTAAACCAGAAAAATAATTGGCTTAAAAACCAGGGTGAATTTTGAGGAGCTTTAACGATCATTTGGCTTGTCTTCTGGTTTTGCTCTATGTTATCCCCTGCCTTTTGGTTTGATTAAGTTTGATCTTCTTGACCCAAAAAGAGATCTTTGATTTCGGCAGAGGAATCCAGTTCACATGCCGTCGCCTTGCTGTTAATCATGCCTTTAACTTTCATGTTGACGTGTCAATGTTCGGTGAGGGGTCAGAAAACTATTAGTCCGTAGTACCACGTCAGCTATACCATGGTAGTAGCCTATAATTTCTCCGGGCGTAGGAAGTCCACTATCGCATTAAATCCACCCTAAACCCTACACCCTAAACACTAAACCCTATATATAAAAAATACACTTACTCTCTCCAGACAAGAAATCTAGGTACTTGGTAGCCTAGTTAGTAAAATCACGTATAATATGTGTATTATACATGTATATGAAGATACTTTTCAAAAAAACTTTCGTTTTCCATGTAAGTGTACGGAAATACATTTTTGTTTCTTTAAAACAGGATCCTTTCTTCTTTTTAGAAGGGTATTACTAATCGGTCTAGCGAGTGTCGACTATAAGTTAAACAAAATTTAGAAAACAATTTAAACGTAAAGGCTCATGAATTTACAATATGGAAGAATTGACCCAAGCGACCAATGCACTTGACATAGCCGCAATTATGTACAACACAATGATAGCTATAGCTGTCGTTTTAGTTCCTAATGCTCATAGTTTTACAAGGAGTGTAATCAGCATCAGTGCCCAATGCTTCCAATGGTAATAATATGTAGTACTATGTCAATGAAGCCAGTCGATGAATTCACCTGGAATGATCTGCTGCATACAATATGTTCTGCCACAACTTCGGCAACAGGGCCTTTTAACATCAAGCGGTCTGCACTTCTCAACAAATTCTGAAAATCAATACTCCAATCAACCATAACACAAGGGGAAAAGCCATCTACATTTTTAGCGAATCACATATACATGCAACAGAAGCTAAAAAGTCAATATTCTCCCCTTCTTTTCCCAAGAAATTTCACTGACAGAAAGGGTGTCATTTACTGCAATCACAAAGTCCTGACAAACTCCAATACTTCGCAGCCAAAATATATTACATTCATAGAATAAAAGATTCTGAAACTTAGAGCCCACATTACAAAGGGAGGTTTTCAATAGTTATTGTATTCACTTGCAGTGTTCAAAAGTTAATTAGCATTTAAATTATTTGATTGCAAATACTAAACCCCAGAACATCTTTCTATTTTTCTTAGGAAAAAATTATGCACAATTCTTCCTGTCCACTTTGTCTAATTGTAAAAACAGTTATTTTTAATAATTAAAATGCATTTTCCAGAAACTATAGTGTAAGTCATCAACAGAATGCCAAAAAAAGATAACAACTTCAACCCAGAGGTACTTATAAGTTTCAGCGACTATTAAAAAGCCGTATTAAAAGGAAAATGAGAACATCAAGCTTGTGGATATACCTTAATGCTAAATCTCTTTACTGCATGAGAGCTCAAGTAATCGTATAAGAATGTCATGTTGTAGGCCGTGTCATAGTAGATAAACCACGTCCGACAGGGAAAACTCCTGAAAAGCCTTCATCTGATTCTTCGACTTCTAAAGAAGAGGACATTGCAGGTTCATGAGATAAAGCAAGCATGTAGAACTGATAAATGGACCCAACTCTAAATGATGAGGCAACATCAGACTCGGTAGACACATCCAAAAGGAGAAAAAAAGTTGATATTTTTATGAGGTCTCATTGCCACTCTATTTGAAGTCAAAAAACATTGTTGATTGGTTAAAGATAATCCACTACATCTTTAAAACGTTCAATGACGGCTTGGCAAGAGTTCAACACAGTACAAAATATGTCCTCACCAGTCATTTCGTCACCAGCCTGAGCTCCAGCCACCCCAATGCACGAGTATATAAAATCATCATCGACTTTCAATTGATCATATGCAAGGTATATGTCTTCAATAGCAGCAACCTCATACAAATTTGTGAGATCTTTGATGCAAGATATGTCCTGGACCAAAATAGCACTATGAAACATAATGTCGTGATGAAAATAGTGTTTATTTTGATTGTTTTGGCTATTACTTGATTTTTGATAAACTAAATGGCAACCTCAAGGAATTATGAATCACAGTGATAATTTCAGCCCTAACACAGGAAAAGATTGATTGCAACCCACTTCTACGTTTTTGATGAGTATCCTCTGTAAATGCTAAAGAAATTTTTAGTTTACCTTCCTTGGAACCAAAGAAGCCTGCAAATGAGCTAACAGTCCAAGCCAATATGCATTTGACTTGATCTCAGCATCATGTCGCATTAGAAGGGTCCGTTTTGCCTTTAATTTCGACATAGGTCAACAAACAAGAGACGTGGTCAAGAGAATTCCATTTAAGTGAAGAAAACAAAATGGGATAAAAAATTAAAAACTAACCCACCCTGTCCAACTCCCTTTGGGAAATCTTGTTGCCATGCAAACCTCTAAGGACATTCTTGCATGCATCGACAGCTTTGTGAACCTGAATATTTATTAGACCTAAACAGGTGAAGAGAGTGCAAATGATAGAAAATATTTTGCTCGAATATATACAACTACAACATACACACCTTGTCAGGGGTTGATGTTACAGATATGACATACCATCCAAGATTGAGCCTATCGAAGAGGTTCAACTCGAATGATACATCATATGTCAATCCAAGAGAATCTCTGACTGTCGTAAAAAGCCTGTGCAAAGTGGATGGAAAATTTCACAGCAGTGAAAATAACAAGAAATATTCCTTAATCTTACATAGTATCTAAAAAATGTATGGTACAAACTCCTAGTGCAATTAAATACTGCATTTTGTGAAGTTCAGATAATGTATGGTACAAACGACTAATGGGTTAGCGAAAACCACTGGCAGTTATTGATGAACATAATTGCACGGCATAGAGAAATAACACATTTTACTCATAAATTCAGAGCATGCAGATAATGAAGAAAGATGAACACATTTGCAGATAAACTTGAAGTTCATATGCATACTTTGTACTGTGCAGAGAAAATTACCTAGAATTTATAATCTCAGCCAGGAGCCCCATTGTGATGCCAAAGAAAAGGGGATGACCACGAAGTTTTCTTCGCAGATCCTTCTGAATATCCTTATCCACCATAAGCAGCTCCTCCGATTTCAGTTCTGCAACCATATAAGAAATTATAGCCACAACACATAAGTACTTATATATATATTTTTTTGAATAGACATAAGTACTTATATCAATAAGCCGCAAATTCAAAACCTAATTCCAGATTTCATAAACTTGCCATCATTAGTTGAAATATGAATAATTGACTGAAAGAGATCTTTGCCATCGACTGTAAAACCCCAACGGTTTGGTGCAGGGCCTGCAATATAGGCACATGCTCTCTCATCTGTATCTTTCAAGAATACCTGCTTAAAAAGAAATGAAGCATGAGCACCATTCAAAGTATTACAGAAATTCCACCATCCAAAGTGGCAAGGATTAAGTACACTCACTTGCTGAGACTGCAAATCAGAAGGAGATGGTCGAAACACAACCGGATTATACTTATTCTCCGTCTCATAATTCCCTGTCGATCTAACAGTTCCCAAGTAATCAAGAACACAAGACTCAACATCCTCCTCAGAGAAGTCCCCAACAATACTTACCTAAAAAACAAGCAGACGCAGCCATATATAAATGAGAAATGTTGTATAGTATAATTTTATTGTTGTGTGCATAATTTGTAGAACCAAATCAGCAAAGTACACACCTCCATGTTATTGCCTACAAATTGTTTCATCACTG